AGAGGAGGGGGAAGGAGGCGGGAGAGAAGGAGGATAAAGGAGAGAGGAAAGACAGAAAAAGGAAGGGGCGAGAAGAGTAAAGAGGGCGGAAGGAGGAGGAAGGAAAGAAGGGGCGGGGAGGAGGAGGGAGGGGGAGAAGGGAGAAAGGGAGGTCGGGGCTGGGGGGTGGCAGGAGCGGCATCCCCAGCCCGGCAGGGGGAACAGCCAGAAGCAGCAGCCCGGCGGCGCCCTGACCGAGACAGCCCCCGCCTCAGGGGCTGTGCCTGACCCTCTGCCTGAAGCCCCTAAACCCTCATGCAACCAAGGACCAGGGCACTCTGGCTTTCCGGCTGCTCTCCTTTAGGTACCCTGACTCATGTGGTGGTAAAACACTGGCACAAGTTGCCCAGAGAGGTGGTGGATGCACTATCCCTGGAGACATTCAAGGTCAGGCTGGATGTGGTTCTGGGCAACTTGATCTAATTCAAGATGTCTCTACTCACTGCAGGGGGTTGGACTAGATGCCTTTGAAGGTCCCTTCCAACACAAGCTATTCTATACAGTGTGGCTCATGTAACAGTCCACAGGCCTAAGGAAACGCGTTCCATTCTGCCTTGTCCATGCCTGAACATGCCATCTAACATACAGGTGGCCACAGGCAAAGCAGTCTTTTTGTGTGCCCAGCACCACACAGGGCAGCCCTGCACATACATGGTGCTGCCTGCCTCCCACACTCCCATGCCATTAGCAGGGGCAAAGGATGTCTCTCAGGGAAATACACAAATCTGGGAGATACTTCCTTATTCTCATGGACTTATTCCAAAGCACCATGTCCCCAAGCAGTCCTCTCATCTGCCTGTTGAACTGTCACATTCATGCTACGCTGTGCTAGACAGGGAAGCCAACCTAGTGTTACATGGCTTATAAAGAGCTTCAGATTCTGCTGGGTGAAAGTGTTAAATGGATAGATGTCACAGCCCAAGAGAGAAAAGAAGGGACAATGAAATGGAACATGACAGTACTCCAATTTACTTTAAAAGACTCTGCACGCAGTGAATTGCTCAGAAGTCACATTTCCTAGCCCTTTATGAGCAGCTTTTCACAGGGGTGCTGCAGAATGAGCTGTGTGATCTCTGAATAGATCTTCACAGAACTGATGAGTCACAGAATCTCACAGAACCACAGATTTTATGATCTCATGTAACAGACGATGCTTCACAATGGCTGCTCCTGACATTCATCCCTGCTGCACACTCCTACCTTGGAAGAAGTGACAACCAATCCATTTGAAATCAGTCTGTTTACAAAATAAACTAGTGCACTTGCATGATTTTCATAGCATCAAACAAACACACAAACAAGGCAAAAAAACCCTGGACGCATGCTTAACCGTGCACTTACACTTCAAACACTGAAATCTACTCTTTGTGAGCCTTTCACATGGATACTTACTTTACAGGGGATTATTTTACCCCTATGCAATGGAAGGCTTTCCTGTCTTACCCTCAAAATCTGGTGAATGTTGTTTCCAAGGTATCAGGGGTTGAGAACAGCAGTTAGGCAATTTCTAGCTCTCATGTGATGGCACCACCATTCTTCAGTTATCACAGTACTGTACCTTTCACGTATACAGCACCGGTACCATGATAACCGAAAAAGGACAGTTCATAGTCTTATTATTTGATGCCATTGTCAGATAAACAATCCTCCCTCATCTAAGTAAAGGAAAACTGCTCAGTCTCTATGAATAACTGTGATCTAGTCACTTGTCAGTCTGATAAATGTTTTTTTTTTAATACTAGATACCCTTCCCCTAATCTGTGTGCTTCAACTAGCAATGTAAGAAATGTAGTCTTTTTCTATCCTCTGAACCACTATAGCCTGCAGACACAGCTTTAAAAAAAATTGAGACTGAAGCACCAGAGAGAAGTCCGCTGCCTGACAGGGCTAAAGCTTTGGGGTTGCACAAAGCTTCATGAATTGAACTCTTAAGCCATTTCCTAAAGACAATCACAGCTTCAGTGTTTGGCTAGCCATTTGAAACATGCTGTTTAATGCCACAGCTACACAGAGATCACTAGGAAAAGTGGTAGTGTATGCTAGGCAACAAAAAGCAAACCGATATACACGTACAATCTAAGATGAAGAACCAACAGCAAAACCCATTTCTGCACTTCTCAGAACAAGGAATAATAGAGAATGGTAAGGGAATCATCTTCTGATGTGTAGGAATAAATACTAGGTAACTTACACCACCCGTCTCATTTGAAGATGGATACAAGCTGTTCTACTCATAGCCACAAGCTAAGTCGTACAGATAAAAAAAACCAAACCATAGCTGTGCAATAAAATTAGTGAATTAAACAAGACTGGGTAATTAAACTGAATAAAACAACTTACGTGTATGGAGACAGAGGTCCTAACAGGACTTTGGAAACATCTCGTTGTCCAAGGGTCATGAGGAGCAGAGCAAGGCTCTGATTTGTTGAATCTACACAGCCTCCCTGCAAACCAGAATGTTTTAATAATTAATCTCTGTACAAACCAGAAATTGGGATGGGAGGAGAGTAATGAAGGAGAAAGATATACTTAAAAGGCTATATTACCGCCCCAAATTTTCAAGGGCCAAAAAGATAAAAATCTAGATTTTGCAACAATGACAAATTAATTTCACATGGCAGGCTGGGAAAGAAACAGAACTAAAACAGAACAAAATAAAAAAGGTCATATTAAAGATCCCTCCCATCTCTCCCAGCCTGTTCTCTTCTAACATCATAGAATGTAAGCACTAAAGAATTTATTTGCAGTAAATTGAACATAGGTATTAGTTTAGTTATAGCTCATGTGCATCTGAAAAGTAACAAGAAATGCAGCGCTTTTGTAACTATGAAGTTACATTTGGACAAACAGTTCAGTGTTTGCAGGTGCAAACCAGCAAATTAAAAGTTGTTTCACACATACCCACCCCTAAGCCCTTGCTGCTATCTTCTGTGGTTTTACACTTGTAAAACATTTTCCCCTCCATATTTAAAATGAGATGTTTTTTTCTTCTACTGGTATGCAAAAGCCATGCATAAAATTATGTAGAACTAAACACTCCTGTACATATTTGAATGTAGCAAGTCATACATGTATGGTGTTAATTATGATGCATATATAAATTAGAATTGGAAGGTTTTCTTTGTTTACAAAGCTTGAATGTAAATTAAATGGGACGCTTTCAATCAAAACTGCTGTAGAGAGTAATAATTTACCAATTATTACTATGCAAACACATTGAAAATAAAGAAAGTATCTGTCATGACATTAGTTTGGACTGTCCTCATACTCATCCTGATCCACAGCCACAGGAAATCTGTGCACAGTTTCCCACTGGATCAGGCCCTCTGAATAGGCTCTCTGGAGAGAGCAAACTAGAAATTCATCCTTTTAAAACTAAATTCTCTAATGACGTAAGTGGCTGTTACCTTTGCGGACAAGGAGTAACCTGCCATAATTTTAAGAGACAATACCATCTAAAAAGTCAAGGGTGGGGCAAAATGAATTTTGGACTACATAGCTTAAGAAAACACAGTGATGTGACAACCACAGCACATTTACTCAGTGACAGTGCAGACAGGAGGACCTTTCCAATGAGAGATACTGAAAATTTAATTTCTGAGATGGCCTTGTTGCAGGGTGACAAGGCTCAGCTCCGTTCTTGTGAAAAAGAAACCCCCAAAAACTACCCCAAAACCAAACCAAACCCACAACCCTCTGTATTTGACGCAACAAATGACAACTCACAATGAAGGGAACATCTTCATTACTTTCACTATCATGACCCAATTCCTAGCAGCACCATCCACTCTTACAGCAGCCCTTGGCCTTTCTGAGCCTGCCATACCGAAATGAAATTCATGCACTCAACCTGATGTCCTCTATGGGACTGATTCAAGACTGATGCTTTGCACAGAGTACCTGCAGAATTTGCTGGTGCAATCTAGAGCCACAGCTCTCACCAGCTGTATTTGCCAATCTGAAACATACAGCAGAAGCATATAAGAGTTTGGTAAGTATCCCTGGCACAAAACTTCCTGTATTTGCAGTTTGGTTAATAATTCAAAATGCTTTTTATAACTTGGATGAAAAATTGACATTTTCTGAGCTTTCTATTTTCTAAAGTTGAAAACACAGAACATCTATTTTTATGTCCAAATTTCTACAAAAGGTTTGGACAGCATGGAGACAGCCATGTTCTAAACAATATGTCAAAACTTAATATACCCATCACATCTGAGCTACTTACATAAGTTCTCTTGCTGCAGTGAGTCAGTCATCCCCGCTATTGTTGTGCATTAACAGAATATGTTATGCCCATTCCCACACAGGCAGTTGCCAGACAGGGAACTTAAGTGATCTGCTTGTAATCTAATGATCATGGAACAGTAACTCATGGCAAATAAGGGACATGCTGCTCCCAAGAAGGCAAACTTTTTTCTCTCAATCCACCTGCCAATTACGCAAGAGTCCAAAATCAAAAACAACCCTCCCAAGAAAAATGGGATGGACAAAGTCAGAGCTAAACTACTGACATTTGTTCCAAAATAGCTGGCACTCATTACCAACATAAGTTGAACCTTCTAATCCATATCAATTCAGTTTATGGCAGTTTCTCCACTATTGTTTCTGTGGACAAAGCCACATCCAGCTGAATGTGACAATTAGAGACACAGATCACTTAAAATCCTGTCTACTTTGAAACACTTTTCTAGAAATACCACAGCTGACAAATATCATAGCACTGGGTACTGGACAACAGTGTTTCAAAGAGGATTCTTCCAAGCTTGACGCCAGCTTTGATTTAGTCTTGCTTATATTATGGCATACACACATTTTCCTCCCTTGCCTGTGCAGTACATATTTGCATGCTTTTTTTTTTTAATTCCAGAAGAATGGAGGAGAACCTTGCCACACTGAAGTGAGGCCATCTTGAAAACTAAGCCTTTGGTGAAATGCTTCACTCATTTTAGCTCTAGTTCAATAAAACTCTTGCCCCTCCAACAAAACTCGTGACCTTTCTTCATTAAAAAACTCAGCCTTAAATACATATTGCACCCTCTCCTATTTTTCATGATCATAAGCAGCATAAACATTCAATCTTTTTCCAGTTCTTCCAGGCCTTTCCATTCTGCAAGTCACCTTCTATATGAAGCTTCCATAACCAATGCCTTTCAAAGACAAGAGGAAAACACTTACTGGCCTTCTACAATTAAGCTAAAGTAAGAACTGCATGTGGGTTTGTAAAGGCAATGCTTTTGAGCCAGCCACTCAATGCCCCTCTTTCAGGGGCACCGTAATTAGCACTGTACTGCTTATTATTAGTAAATTTACTCTGACATCTTTCCATTAATAAAGGTACATAAAAAAACTCCACTGATTCCGCGAATCAGATGACCTCTTTCACTTCTCTCTGAAAGCTTAGTAAAAAAGGGACCATTTAGCTTTTAACATATCAAGACTCAAATCCTTAAGATTTCCTACGTGGTAAAGTTCGCATAATAGCAAGCATTAAGCAAGCACTTCAAGAGATGTCCCTGGGCCCCTTTAAACAGTAATGAACTCCCAACAGGTTTGTGGGTGGCCCTGACAGCTAAAGCTCTTCTACGGAGAATTATCTTCAGTGCTCCTAGGATGTCCTTTTCTGGTCAACACTCCCCAGCTCCTTTGCCCCCTGGCAAAGGAGCCAGGCAGAGACACAAGAAAAGACATGGAATCTCACAAAGAGACAATCTAAACACAGGAGAAAAATTCTCCCTTGAACCCCAGTGAGCAGCTGGTGTAGAGTGGGACTTAAAGACTGCCTGTTCAGAGCAACTTATTCTTCCTCTACGCACAGCTTTTCCAAACTTTTACTGTTTCAGTAAACATTATATCTAGGCAAAGAAGCATTAAAAAAAAATATCTTCAAATTAAACAAACATTGCATGCTTTGCAACATGTTTTACATCCTCTCTTGGGTCAACACTAGATCAAACTGACCTAAGCTCAGAAAAACAAACAAAGGGAGAGAGACACGATGCGAAAGCTCATCTTTCCAAATTCCTCACTAGCTAGTGCTGTGTGAGCATGTATGTCATACATAAATTCAAGTGTGGATTTGAGAAAATACAGAACAAAATCCACCATATTGCCTATGACAGAGGGAGCGGAAATTCATTAACAGTGAATAAGGATTGAGCACTTCAGTGGATAGGCAGCACAATAACAAAAAATGCTAACAAATGAACTTTTCCACCATGAGCTGCTGCCATGGAGGACCACAAGGAGACCATACGCTGCTCAGCACTTGTCAGTCACTCTTGGGACTGATGTGTTCCACACATAAAAAACCCTTCCAGGAGCACCAGCAGCACCATAGCCTCAGCAGGTACTGAGTACCAGCAGTACCATAGCCAGCAGGTACTGAGTACCAGCAGGCCACAGCTAACAACCGCACTCACTCTGAATGTGGTCTTCAAAGACACTGAAACTTCATGGCCCATCACTTTATTATCCAAAGACTTGCCTGACCCTGCTTCCTTCTCAAATGCTTTTTTCGTGTTGTCCCAAGATGCTCACTATCCTGACGCTTTGCAGAATTTGACTAATCAAATTCAAATGGCTACAGTGCACTAAAGCACAAAATTTACCTAGTTCAGACCCTTCCAGCCCTCTTAATTTTGCAAGTTCTCTTAACTCTGAAGGAAGTACAGTACCCAGACAAATCCCCTCACTAATTCCAATCTGTCAAGTGCCAGACAGTTTTCAAAGGAAAAAAACTTAAACCTATTGCTCCTGATAAAATGATATGCAAATTGGATTTTTGATGCCTCCAAACATCTGACTACCTGAACATGTTTTTCACGAGATTTGCAAGGTGTCTTGACTGTACCCAGGAAGAATAGTTGTTGTGCTTCTATGAGAGAAGAACCCTGGGCTACAATGGGAAAGTCCTCTAGCAAGATGGTGCACTGAATAAACAAAGACGAAACGCTCCACAAAGACTGGAACGAGTGGGCAAGTTCGTAATTCAGACTGATGAAGGGTTTGCAGCAGAGAAAGGAAAAGATAACATGGGCAGAGATGAACAACCTACTATTGGTGTGGACCCGATTTATGAAGTTAAGGGGTATTTTTATAATTTACTACATCACCAAATATGGAATCTCATTAGTGGCTTTTTTAATACTTGGCAAAGCCTTATCAGGTTATTCCACTTCAGAGCAATTACTTTTTATTTAAACAGTAAGTAGAAATTCTAGATGACTGTCTCCTAAAAGCCAAATGCACTTTGTCAACACCAACAGCTACTTATTTTAACAGTTGTGAAGATATGTAACAAAAGCAGCTTATTAAATCAGGAACTCACCATGATGCTAATTGACAAATCATTTGTAAAACTGAAAGTTGCTCATCCACTATAACTCTCAGCACAAAGGAAAAAAAAACAAAACCCAGAATAATAAAATAAACAAACAAATTATACCCCAGAATGTGAACTGTGATGCACTTAAGATTCCTACAAAAACACTGAACAAGCTCCTTTCCAATAAAGCATTCAGCCAATTCCTCATACAACCAACAATCTTGGCACATTTGGCTTTGCCATCGTCACCATAAAGGAGCCAGCACCGAGACTAGCTGCTTCCTCCTCCCCTTCTTCCTCAGATATTCTCTCACTATTCCACTCTAGTTTATTCCATTACTAGTTTTAGAGCACTGACTTTATTACCCCTGCTACTTTTTAATAAAAACAAAACCAAAAAACAACCAAAAGCCCAGCCCATGTGTGGCCAGGTTAATTTTATTGCTGACAGATAGCAACAAAAGAAAAATACAGCCACTACTATGATTCATAGCAACATCTCCTGGGCATAGGAAATAACATGGCCCAGAAAAGCACTGCAGCATTAAGGAACCATTCAGAAATACTCCTTATTTGGCTGAAGATGACACTAGCAGGATCAGATAATTTTTCTGTTTGGATTTGAACCCATCTGAGGATGCTCCCAAACCACTTCTTCCTTTACCAATATGTCATTGCCTTCTTCCCCTATAGCTATACACACAAAACAATACCGGCCACTTACCCTGTAGACCTCCTCAAGCAGCAGTTTAGCACAATTCTGGCCAAGTTCCTCGGGAAGCACAGCTGCTCCCTGGCCCTGAGGGTTTGAGGCTAACTCAGCACTGAGAAAAGTGCCATTGATGGTTTCTGCTGTAAGGCACAAGCCAAAACCTGGTGATCTGAAAGAAAAGGAAAAAGTACATTTAAGGACAAAAATTGAGTAAGAAGCCAAGAAGTACTCCCAGTCAATGTCCTCCTCAAGTCACAAACAGCTCCTCTCAGAGGACAATACTGTGAAACTGGACTTCCTGACAAATTTCCTGTTCTATGCATTCGACTCACCCTGGGAAAAACATAACAAACATTAATGACAGTATTTAAAAGTCTAACCCTGTACCATTTGCCCCAAACCCACTGTGCTGGTTATTCCTGGCACAAATAACAACAACAAAACAATAAACCATCCAAACCTCAGAAATACCCTCCTCTACTAAAAAAAAAATTAAAATAAGATACTGGTCTTCCATATTTATTTAATTCCTGTTTGATGAACATTTCAAAGGTATCTGGAGTTTCTTCTCCGCAACATTCAAAACCAAAAGTTTCTTAAGGGACCAAGCTCTTTTCTTGAAAACTTCAATATTCAGCAGTATTAGACCACAGCCATGGCGGCAAGCAGGAGAATAATTAAAAAAAAAAAAAAAAAAAAAAGTTTGATCCACATTCCTTGTATTTCAAATAACTTATTTTCACTTTCAGTTCAATACCATCCAAATCATTACAACTGCATAAGAATTCTGAACATACGATTTAATGAAAGAAACAAAAATCCCCTATTTTCCTTAGAACTTAGGATCCTCCAAATGCTACTGTGAAAGACAAACTTTTGCTACGGGCAAAAAATCACAGAGAGCTGAGTACAGCTTGCTGAGAAATCGAAAGGTTGTAAGGAAGGAAAAGAAGTCACATGATCCTCTTATTTACAGGCTCTGGAACAGCACCAATAGCTAGCCATTCAAAATATGGCTAACTTAACTTCACTTAACATACAGGATTTCCCAGGTTTGGATTCATGCTGCCTCCAACACCCAAACTTTTCAATTAAAATAATCCCACTGATTCAAAACTGCGAGGAATGTCATAAACATCAACAACCCACAAAACCAAACCACCACCACCACTTCACACAAATTCTCCCAGTACCAGAAAAACAACAGTTCCTCCAGAGGCATATCAGTAGGGTGGGAACAAAAGAAATAATGGGTGGGAAGCACTGATACAACTGCCTGCACTTGCTGAGCAACACAGAAGCTGTGTTAAAGATGTTTCTCTTCTCCTTTCCTCCCTCTGAATGAGATCTGAAGAGCAAGACAAGAACAACGTCAAAGGTGGGGGGCTTTTTTTTGGACAAGTATCCTTTAATAATCTAACTATATCCCTGGCAGATTTTGTTAGTGTTTTGCAGCATGTTGCACTCTTCCCAGATACGAACTGAGATCTTTCAGTGCCTCACGTATGTTCAGACAGTATTAGGAAGCATCTGCACAGACAAACCTTTTGCTGCAAATGCTTAAAACAGAACTGGGAAGTTTTGGGGTTTTTTTAGAGATACATTATAGGTGGCAGTAGATGCTCAAATAATCTACTTCCTGAGGCTTTTGTCACCATGGAAGGGATGTAGTTGAATGCTTTATATTCTGAAATCAGGCCTTGGTTTGGGCTGTGCACAGATGGGCTGAACTTATCTTTCCTGGTCTTACACATCACCAGAGGCAGCACTGGAAACAATGAGGCATATCGCTTTCCTTCCTTGTCTTGCTCTAAGACTCACACACAAGCACTGGGAAACAGGTAAGAAAAAAGGCTTTGCCAAAGTGGCACATTGTTAGTATCAGGTATACTGCAATTGCACTGGTGCCATACTTAGGCTGAATGTGACAGCACAGCACCATTAGAAAGCTATATGCACCAGAAAGCTGTACGCACCAGCAAGATAGAGAAAGATTCAGTTCCTCTTCCCACACTATTATTTATTCCTCTGCATGGGCTACTCATGCAGGTAGTAAATGTAATTCTGCTGCCATAATTCATTTGACTTTTTCACTTTATAGACCCCAAAACCACACAGCTCCCAGAAGAGTTTTTGCTATTCTGATGACTGTTAACAGTCTAAAACCACAAGACTTACTAACCTGGGATATTAAATATGATGAAGGATTGGAAAAGAGGAAGCATACTTAAATGTGAGTAAATAATTTTTAGATTTGCAAACCTAACAAGTTTTCTTTAAGGCAGTATTTCAAAAAGCAGAAACGGTGAACGAAAGTGTGCATGCTTGGATTTGAGGATACAGACAGAGGACAAACAAACTAGTTATGCAGAAATCCTTCAACCTCAACTAAAAGTGACAAAAGGACATCAAGCTGACAGACATCAGCAGAATTGTCTGAATCCCATCCATCACTTCTATGTTCTGATGGCAAACAAAATATGTTTAAGTACAGTAAATTAATGTCTCAAATTTCCAGTCTTTACTGGTGGAAGGACACTCCTTCAGCTATTTATGTAACGGTAAAGCAGAAGGCAAATTAAACAGCTGAAAAACTTTTAGAATAGTTTCGTCCCATCCTTACTACTACCATGTCCATCGGGGTATGTATAGTCAATCTTGAATGCTGGTTTTCACAACATATCTCTGATCTTAATCTCACTTCAAAGGAACAGGTTTAGAACTGAAGAGAGCTCAAGTCACCTATAGTGGCAGTAATAATATATTACATTCCTTGTTTAAGAAAACACACAACTTCTATCCCTGTACCATGAGTAAAACAAAAGTATCTAGTGAATCACTCCATTTCTTCCCTATGGGGGATATCAATTTCAAGTCAGCAAAATAGAAGACCGTGGTCTAAAACCCAGTAAAAGAACAGATCAGAATACCCTAGCAGATGAACCAACAGAGAATGACATTTCTGTTCCCTGTGAATACTGGCTACTTACTTTCCAGAGCTGACCCCTTTCATATGATCCGTGTAGATATAAATGTCAGGAAGGAATTTATTCAGGATGCTCCTTGCAGATTCCACTATTCTGTTTGCCATCTGTGGTGACACTCTGACAGAATATCTACGTTTTCAAGCTAAGGAATTCATTGTGGTCACACAAGAAATTGAAACCCGAGACTGACAAAAGTGGCCAAGAGGTCCCAATGCATTCTGTCAGAAACTGTGGTTCGTTCTATGAGTCCATTCGTAAGTCCTGGTCCATCTTCCTGTGCTTAGGAAGAGCACACATGGATAAGTGCTTTCTACAATCTTTTCACTGATATACCTTGAAACAAGGTACACAGAACATGTGCAGAACAGTTTATTACGAGTAGTAAACATCTATTCTTACAATAATTTTAAACTGCTGTTTTGTAATCCTATGTTTTCTTATGATGGAAAAGGTCCTGTGTCCTCTGCTCTTCATATACTATTTAAAAGATGGTGATGGGAGAGGTTTATTAGAAGTAGATTAGAAGGTGATCAGAAGTAGAAAGACAGGACTTCTTGCTGCTATCAGGGACAAATGGGGTAGATGAAATTCAGTGTTTTAACAACAGAAAAAAGTAATTTAAAAAAAGCTAAAAACATAATCTTTCTTTTAGCTACGTTGCAGTGCTGTAAGGCTATCAGGTTCACTGGTGCTCTAGTCACTCAGCATCTGAAGGTAATGGTTCCAGGAAAGAAGAAATTACCACCTTCCTGCTCACCTCACCCCACATGTGCACAGCATGCACAGATGAACTGCCTTTACCCCCTTTCATTCGGGTGCTGCTTCAGTGATATTCCCAACAGATCTTCAAACAAAGCACATAGTGCTTCATGTTGCATCTCAACTAAAATGCAGACTCATGTTCTGCACATTTAACCACCCACCCGCACGTATAAGCACATAGCAATGCAGAGAGACACACTCTCAAACCTTCCAGTGAGCAGAAGGGAATTTCCTGTTCTACAAATTCCTATTACATTTTCTTGTGGAGTAGGTAAACAAAAGGATTGAAGATCTTAAGGGCAAAATAATAACATCTTAAGGGCAAAATAAGCGTAAATAATAATCAGAAAACTGATTGTTCTGCACGGTTGGTACATTCAGTATTTTGGATGACTATAAAAGGTTGCTGCAATACAAGCTCCCCAGCTGTGAGGAAGATTTGCTCAGCTGAATCATGAAGAAACAAAAATGCACATAGAAAAGACCTAAGCATTTATCTCACCAGATGTTTTGTTTTCTACTGGCTTAAAGACCACATAATGTCTGAACTAAAATGAGGCTGCTTCTCACCAGGATTAAAGATAAACCGTTATCCCTGAGAAAAAGCTCAGGAAAATCTAAAGGAAAGTGTAAATTCAAAAATCTGTAGTTCACACACATCAACCAAATCTAGTAATACTGGCCCAGAATGATGCTGTGTTGCTTTGTATTAACATAGAATCATAGAATGTTCAGAGTTGGAAAGGACCTTGAGATCATCTAGTTCCAACCCCTGCCATGGGCAGGAGCGCCTCACCCTAGACCATGTTGCCCAAGGCTTTGCCCAGCCTGGCCTTGAACACCGCCAGAGATGGAGCATTCACAACTTCCTTGGGCAACCTATTCCAGTGCCTCACGACCCTCACTGTAAAGAACTTCTTCCTTATATCTAGCCTAAACTTCCCCGATGGCACTAAAGCCATGATCATTGCTTCTCTGTTCACAAAGATGCTGAGGATAGCACTTGCTACAGAGGTAGATAAAGGCATAAGGAAATTAATTTCTTCATGGAAAGACCATGACAAACACCACCAAAATCAAGAGGAGCTGCCTCCTTTTTATTCTCCAGCACATATACCCAGTAAAATTGCCAAATGCATCCAAATGCTGCAGTTGGACACAAAGGCCAAAGTGTCTTGTTCTCACACACAATTATGGTGGTATGCCATAAAGAAAAAGGAGGAATAGGCTGCAAGTCTGCACCTCTGGCAGGAAACCTGCCCTCATGCCTGCTTTCCTTTTGAGTCATCACAGCGTATTCATGAGAGATACCATACAAAAACCACAAGAGAAAAATAAAGAAAAAGCACCAAACCCAAAATATTAACTAGACGTGCACTTCTGTTTGCAAAAGTGAGTAATCCACAACGATATTTTGTGCCCTTTTCTTTGTGAAGTAGAACCTCCTCCATTTCCAGATCTAATGGTACCACTGAAAGTGAAGAGCTAACAAGCTCTTCATAACACAACAAAAAGCTCAGTTCACATGTGTGCAGTGAGGTATAAACTGAACTAAGACTTAAGCTCCCATCTAACATTCTGTTAGACTCAACAGCCAAGTTGTTCAATGCGTAAGAAAACTACTGCATTTACACACAAGAATCCTACTTTGCTGCTATGTAATGGAAAGTGTTTTAACTTTTTCTTGTTATTGAAAAGATTTGAAATAGTGCTGTTCAGTTTTAATTTATTTGTCTATTGATGCTTTTTGAACAGCAATGTTCTGAACACAGCAGTTTTGAGACACCTGAAATGTAGCTGTGTGATCGACTGCTCTCTCTAGTGTCAGCCTCCATTATCAGGATACATGCTCAGCAACATGGATGTACTTCTGTGACTTCAGCTGCCACATTTACGTTTTTAAGGCAAACTCATTTAAAAGAAGAAAAGCAAGTAAACAAAAAAGGATACGCAGTTCCTCTGATGCGCTTGATTTTGCCTGGGTCTGTAAACTGAATAGGCTGCAAGACCCTTCTCACTGGGCAAGCAAACACTATTTCTCCACCCCCTTTGGGAGGCATTCCTCTCCGGTTGATCTAGAAAGAATAACAGAGGAAAAAAAACAGGTTAGTAAAGAGCACCAAGAATGTACTTATATACTCAAAAATGACAGCTTTTATTTCACGTATAATAAAATGTTATCAGTAGGAGTATTATGTGAACACAGGCAAGTAAAAGACATCCCAAAGGCAGAAATGGATTTTGTACCAAACCTATATGCAAAAATTGATTCTTTCTTCCTCCTCTCTCAAGTACAGTAGGGCATGGCTTCTCAATGGAAAACAAAACCAACCAAATAAAAACCCAACATCTTTACCAGTAAGGCAACCTTGGCTTAAGACTGGTCTCTTAATAGAAAATCTGTACTTCACTACTGAAGACATTCTAGAAGTGTTTGATGCTTAATATGTACATGGGGGCCCAGAATGAACTCATTCCCACAGACAGGCTTGGCCAGCCCAACTCTGTGCCACTGCTCCAGCCAGTGTCCACAGGGATGGGGATGGGACATGGGTCTGTGGGCAGGTCTCGGTCAGGGTGCTTATGGCCAGGCAGGTCTGTGAGGAGCTGGAGACGGGCCCTGCTGCAAGGTCACTGGAGCACAGGCTGACAGTCCCAGGGTGATAACAAGGGGTCCTGGGCCATGGGCAGGGTTGGGGGAGGCCCCTGGGGTTGCGGCTCAGCAGAGACTAGTAAAGCGAAGTCTAGCAGTGCAGCTAGAGCCTTCACACATCTCACATGAGTGTTCTTAACTTTGAAAGGCTATAGTTTCTTTTTTCAACCTAAACTAAAACAAAATAAATAGATTCTACATTCAGATTTATTTGGCTTATGAAGAATCAAGAATGTTTCTTAGGCTGCAGAGATCTGAGACTAAGAAAAAGTCAATGCTTTCTCCTTACCCTTTCTACCCATAGTCTCTGCATCTCTTCTGTCACATCTTCAATCACTGTGTGGCTGGTATGCCTTCTAAAATATGACAAGAACTAGAGGCAACTTTAGAAATGTGTGTAACTACAACTAGGGACCGATACCAGCAGCAAGCATATGGCTCTGTGAAGCAGTGCAAAACCATCATTTTAACATGTGCTAGAAAAGAAAGGAACCAATTGTCTCACCTTGATTTCCAGACTTTCACCATCAATTCCAAACTTCTTCAGTAGGGGTAGAGCTGTTGCCTTAAGGACATCAACCTATTTAACACAGAAATCAGAAAGCAGACTCTTTACTGAAAGTTACAAAAGTCAGTAGTTTAAAAATCACTGCATTACTGGTATTTTATGGGAAGACATGAGAATGCAGCACGGAGAGCTTTGGCTACTCAGAGACTTTCAAGTATCTCATTTCCCAAAAAACCTGTTAGAACAAATTACTGGTAGATGGACTTTCCTATTTTGGATTTGTTCTTCTGTCAGATTTCTACTTCTATTATGGTTCAGCTAAAACAGCTAATTTGTTTCTCTGAACATACTTATTGAAAAGAATTATATTCTGCTGTTATTGCTAAAATATTCTTACGGCTAAATAAATGATTGCAAGAACCTTTGCGTTTTGGAGGAGGCCCTTGATTTAGCAGGAAAAACCACCATCCTTCTGTTAAGAACTTCTTTTTGCCTGTTTATTAGAAACAGAAGCTTCTAGTTAACTTCTCTTGAAATACTTAGAAGAATCTGAAGAGGGCGACACATCCATGTACTCCCTTTGAGCCAAATGCTCACCAGATTCAGGTCTAAGCAGTATTTTCCTTGCAATTGCTCTTCCTAATTGCTGGGTTAAGACAACACTGACAGTTATCATCTTCTCTCTGCTGAAACTTTAGTAGTATTGCCAAAAGTGACAAAAAAGATTTAGCAGTGCAACAGCACAGGGAATTACTGAAGACAAGCAGCTTGGGAGAGACAGGACCAGGACAGCGTGACCCAAGAGAAACTAAATTTGGCTGAAGGAAGACAGCAGTTGAAGCAGGAAAAAAACCTCAGCCCTCTTCCCATGCCTTCAGCCAGAACCCACAATTTGAGTTTCACTCTCTCTTTGCAAGCTGCTGACATAGTAGCACATACTTCACCTACAAAGTTGTGAACATCCTGTTAGAACTACCTGAGTAGCTACAGGCATATGCTGCAGTTCTCATTCTTGGAATCCTGCCGGCTAACACACTTCCTTTCTTACAGAGATGCATTTGGCAGTATTTTTAATGATAGTATTAATATTCAAATGTCTACATAACACACACACCCCTACATCAATTATTAATTTTTTTTTTGTTATATTTATGTGTTTTATGCTTTTTACAGCCAGGCTACCTTAATTTGGCCTCTCAGTAGTATTCGTTAATCACACAAATTAGACTTCAAGAGATAAAACCTTTACTAAAATGCATGTGCACACAGAGAGACACACATGAATACCACTGGCAGAAGTTCCCACAAGCTGATCTGGCTCACATTAAACTTACACAATATTTCTCCCTCTTTCTTAAGGAACAAAATACATCAGTAAAAAAGAAAAGCTTCACTGTGTCAGCTAGGAACTTCCTTTCTCTCCTTCATTTCTGCTTTTGCAATTCTTTGGACTGAAGTCTGTATCTCTGGAGAAGACATGTTACATTAGCATTAGGAAGCTGGATCAATTTTGAGTCTGCTTTATCTGTCTCCAAAACTTTCAAGACTTGTCATAGCTTTTAAGCCTCAGACAAATTCCAGGCATGATAATTATGAGGTACCAGACAGACACATAATAAGAGACTGTCTCTATTCCAAACCTGCGGCCTGAATAGAGAAGTACTTAAGAAGTGGAGACAGCTGTTCTGCGTAGTAGATGAGTGGCAGGTCAGGCAGGAGAAGTACTTCACTGTAAGCACATGGCAATAGCAGAACTGAGACCCAGAACTGTATTTCCTACATTCAGCCATAAAACCATGCTTCAGCTCCCCCTGAAGGGCAGTTACTCCTCTTCCAGAGTGGACTATGCAACACTGAGTTGTATCAAAGCAAACACATCAGGCAAACCAAAGGCCTCACCACAAATACCAGCCACTTGCTAAGTCCCATAGACATTGCTTGTTCACAAACTACTGTAAATACAAAGAATACAAACTTTTTTCCTTTCAAAGATATCTACAGTGAGTAAAAAAAAAAAAAAAAGCCAGCATGAAAGCAATTTCAATTGAAAGTCCCATGGAATAGCTGTATAAAGATGTCAACATTCGCAAACCCAAACATTAAGAACAATTATTGTAAAGCCAGATTACTGCAGCACTATGTATCTGTCAGGATAACAGTATTTAGAGTTAACTAAGAGCTATCATTTGCATGCCACCTCCATTCCCTGCAAAAAGGCACTCTACAAAGATACCCACACATACGTTCTATATGGAGAAACTGAAAACTGCCTCAACTCTATACTCCAGTTCCACATGGCTGGTCCCACAAGCTCTCCATGGTTAGGTCTCATCAGCAGTCACATGGAAAAACGTAATGAAGACACAGGCTGCCAATGAACAGTTCAGGCTGGTACTCAAAAGTCACGTCTCCTACTGACAAGCATGAGACAAAGCAGTACCCCTCTCACTCATTCAGGATGTATCACTCACACACTGCTATAACCAAGCTCCAACCTGAGCAAGTGCACATTACCTTCTATTTCAGTGGCCGCAGTACTCTTTCAGAATAGTGCCAGCTGCCAGAGCTTTCCATTGCACCCCACTGGAGGGCTATTAACATATATAAACAAATGCTAACAGAAACACACACTTGTATTTATACTCTAGGAACTCAGCCTGACATGTGCCTCACTAAACTGAGCTGAAGACTTCCCTTTCACAGGCCAATTTTCAGAAATGCCCTTCCTCTCACCTGGACCATTTTCACTCTCCCCACACCAGGAAATCTGCCATGTTCCCTTTGCTGTGTCCTCCTGGCAAGGGGTCTCCGGCAAAGAGCAACCTCAAACCCACAACACAGCAATCCCATCCAACAAATATTTTTGAGGCTGTGTGAAAGCTGAGAGTAGATTTCAGAAAGCCCAGCAGAGGTCAGCCTATCTGCTCACTGTTACCATGAGGGAAAGGTCCCACTTCTCTGGGTGCACACATATTCCTCCCACTTACTTTGTGAGTGTCTCCTCCAGAAGATGCAGGCTTACAGCTCTCTACCTTTTTGCCAGTTACTTGAGCTGGCTTAGGGAAGGCTCTGAAAAGTGTCCGGGTCCTGGAGCATGCAGGACTGTGCACACTGCATTTCAGCAGACGGCTGAAATCAGATGTGGAGGGAGGATGGGCAGGACTGCCTTCTCCCTTCAAGCACAGAACGGGGTGCTGTAGAGCTATATATATATGTATGTATATGAGTCTGTATATACACGTATTTTTCACATACATATATGTGAACTTGTACATTTATCTGGAGATGACAGATGATGAACACACTCATGCAAGGATACATCCTACGGAGTTCATCTATCTCCAAAATACAGACATTTACAAAACCTTATATCCCTTTTACAAATAAAAACAATAGAAGTTCTCCAAAGCAGAAAAGCAGATACCTTTCCAATTTTATCTATCAAGTTGATATGAAAATACTCTTACATGAAAAACAGCAGGGAAAATTCCTTGCCCATTTTTAAACTACCCACAATATCTTTACATTGGTTTGCTTTTTCCTTGGAAAGCCAGGAAGTGTACAGATGCACTTACTGTGCAGTTACTGTACACTTCCTGTTCACAAATGCACAGGCATTTTGGGCAAGGAAAGGTAGTAAGTGTTCACCAGTTTCTAAACACCTTCTGCCTACTAAAAAACAAAAACTCAAATCAATTTTAAACCAGGTTACCCTTCACACAAGCATAAAAATACTTAGGGTGGCACTTAAACTTGTGCTTTTAGCTTCAGCAACCTGCTGAGCCATATGCTATACAAAACATCTGGTAAAATTCCTTAAAATAATTTATTGATATGCACTGAGTTTAATGTTTACTCAGGCAATAAATCAACATAAACAAGGCTTAAACCCATTTTAGGAATTGTTATTCAGTTACTGCCACTTACAAAGTTACCACACATGAGCCGAGTCACAGTAATGACAGCACTGCTTCTACAGCACAATGAAGTTAAGATACAGCTCCTTAGCACAGAATCATAGAATGTTCAGAGTTGGAAAGGACCTTAAGATCATCTAGTTCCAACCCCCCTGCCATGGGCAGGAGTGCCTCACACTAGACCATATTGCCCAAGGCTCTGTCCAACCTGGCCTTGAACACTGCCAGGGATGGAGCATTCACAACTTCTGTGGGCAACCTATTCCAGTGCCTCACCACCCTCACTGTAAAGAACTTCTTCCTTGTATCTGATCTAAACTTCCCCTGTTTAAGTTTAAAGCCATTACCCCTTGTCCTATCATTACACTCCTTGATGAAGAGTCCCTCTCCAGCATCCTTATAGGCCCCCTTCAGATATTGGAAGGCTGCTATGAGGTCTTCACGCAGTCTTCTCTTCTCCAGGCTGAACAGCCCCAACTTTCTCCGCCTGTCTTTATATGGGAGGTGCTCCAGTCCTCTTGTCCTCGTGGCCCTCCTCTGGACTTGCTCCAACAGCTCCATGTCCTTTTTATGCTGGGGACACCAGAACTCAAGCTGGCTTTCACAAGAGCAGAGCAGAGGGGCAGGATCACCTCCTTTGACCTGCTGGTCACCCATGCACATCTGCATTTTATTTACACTTAGTGTCAGGTACTGTGATTCAGCTGATGTATGCAAATACCCATCTGTGTCTGAACTTTGGCTGGTCAATCCTCCTTCAAGTAGAAACCAACTTGACTCAAATTCTGGCACCCACTTCAGCTAAAATTGTTTAAACTCTACTGGCCCACGTGGGTAATTGGCAGAATCAAGATCAGTTGCTTAGATGAGTGTCCAAACTTACTTGAAAACAATATCAAAATTGGACTGCTCTTGATCTGAAAATTCTTCAAGAAGTTCTCCACTGTGATTAAAAAGATGCAGTCAACCCAAAGAGACATATTTGGTTCTTACTACTTAACATTTACGTACTTTTCATCATGGTGACAGAAAGGTTATGAAAGCATGCTTCCCATTTTACTTTCCCCCCCTTTTTCCCTTTTTTCTTTTTGACAGTATAACTCACTTCAATCATCCTTTGGCCTATGTGGGTCTCTCACAGAGCCACAGATGAGAGAACAAGTTTTTTAAAATGAGAAGAGTAGACAGTCAAAAGGCCATAAATACCAGCAGTACTCAGAGGCTCATTAAATACCTGCAATTACACCTCACAGTAATTGTATTTAGACTGGTTTTCAAATGATAATGTTTCCTTAATCTAGTCAGAGGAGAACAGGCAGTCTCCGACAACCATTCTAAAGGTAAACAGCAATGCTGTTCTCCAAAAGCCATTGTATTCAAGGGTTTTTTTCTGAGGGGTAGCATAACCACTAACCATTAGTTCAATGTTTTAATCCCATCTTATCCATAGCTCATTTTTTAACAATACTATTAAAACAAAGGACTGTAAATCAGCAGAAATAGAACTCGAGGCAATTTCAAAGTAATCTGATCTACCACACTTTCTAGTGTCTTTCTAAAGTACCAGTTATTACATATTTTTGCTATTGTAATTTCATAATTGTTATGTGATACCTGTTTCCAACTGAAAGAAGGCTTCACGGCAGCATGGCATAACTGTGTGCAGCATCCAACAGAAAAGAAAGATTCCTTCCTTGTCACACTCAAATCTTAAAGACTATTTCCCCTTTTATAGTAAATAAATGCATGGAGTAGGAGAAATAACCCATCTAATTTCTAAAAGAACAGGAAAGCAAATGAGAAGCATGGGCTCACATCGCATTTAAAGGGAGCTTCCAGGGGAGAAGACAGAAGAGTACAGAACTAGAAGTCAAAAGGAGGATTACAAACTGGAGTGTGGAGGTGATGCAGAAAGGGAACAATTTAGCAGATGCTTGTTTGATTCAGAAAGTTTGCTGGCAGATGCAGTAACACTGGAAAGTTCTGTGTGTGAGGGATGATAAAAATGCATCATATTTTAGACGTTTCTCCCTAATACATTTTTTATGGAAGAAGTCCTCCTCTAATACCTAAATTCTATTACATACCGAAGGATCTACTTGGTCATTTGTTACTCCCCTCAGGACAATCTTCAATGGATGCTTCATGAAAGGTGCCAAGCAGAGCAGACTTTCCAAGTAGTAGCCAATACCACGAGTGGGGCTGCAGTCATGTTCCAATGAGCCGCCATATAGAAGACCAGGCTGATAATACAAGGTAGTACCTGGTGAAGATGCCAGGAGAGCAAACTGAATGAGAGCACCATCAGCATGCTTGACATTACTATTGTATAAAGACAATTTGCAATGATGTATACAAACAAATTTAAGACAGAAGAATTTATGACAGGTGGTAGCACTTCCAGCAGGCTATTTCTGTCTGCAGTTAATAAACAGACCAGTGTGTGTGTGTGTGTGTCTGTCTGTCTCACACACCATGTCTTCTTTCCCCTTCTCCCCCAAACTCAAGGGTCTCTTAGCAATCCCCAAAATGCTGATACAAGCAGGTATTACCCCCCACTGCAGCTAAATCTTCACCAGACCATCAGGTCATCATGGTCTCAGCATATCTGGTGGTAGTTATCTGCTTTAATGACCAACCACAATCCTTAAAATCCTTACAACAAAAAAACCAAACCCAAAAAACAACCAATCAATGACCCACCAAACCCAAAAAGGACAAGAACCAGACAAGATTTTTATGTGGGATGCTTCTTAGACAAACCAACCCCTTTTCTGAGCATGACTAGGCAAACAGTCTCACTTCAAAGTTTACCTTTGTAGAAATCAAATGTTGCCTTCTACAAAAATCCATTCTGATTCAGAGAGATCTTCCCTCACTACAAAATCCTGCATACCAAATAAAATACTAATTTTTGTTCTTAGTCAGTAGAGTTTCCTTAACTCTGCATTATGGTGGAGCGCTGGTCTTCTTGGATGTAATCAATCACTACACAACTTCTCAGCTTGGTTATCTTTTCAGTCAATGATATCTGAACACCTACCTCTGTCAAGCCGAAACTTTGATTTCACTGCAGCAACTGATAAAAGCCCAGAAGACCAGAACAGTGGAAGACAATAGATCTCACCTGTTGATAAGAGCCCAGAAGACCAGAACAGTGGACGACAACAGATCTCACCTGTTTGGTTTATTTCAATCTGAGAACCATTGGTCACTTTGTCAATCAGGCGAATAAAACTGGCTTCAAAATCTAAGAAGTAGAACAAAGACAGAATTTTAAAGTGCCTTAAATTTATTCCTGGAAAAAAATAAGAAACTTCAACACCACATTTGTACATTTTCCCTTTCCC